TACTCCACCACATCTTTCTGCAATCTGTCTCCCAAATTCCTTTAACTCTGGAGGGCCAACATTCTCTTTAGATAGCTTTAACTGCAGTAAATCTTGGCTCTCTTCAGTAGTGAAAAAACGAAGAGAATGGGGATCAGCACCAGACCTGGCATATTTTCCAACATCATATTCTCTACTTGTTAAGATGATTCTGCTTCCTTCTGTGCCCAAGGGAAAAGCTCTACTTAACTCATCCCATGCTTTTGTTTTCCAAACATCATCCAAGACAATGAGGTATCTTTGTCCTAGCAGTTTCTTGCGTAGCTTCTCAGCTATGTTGTCATCCCAGCTTTTACTGTCTTTGCATTTCTTATTTAAGCTTATGAGCAACGTTTCAACTATATCATTTAAGCTTTTGAATAATGTTTCCAGCATTTCTTTCCAACTATCATTCTCTTGGCACTTTTCATTTATGTTTTTGAACAACACCTCAGCTAGATCCTGTAGGCTTTTGAACAACTTCCGAACTTCATCATCTGTTCTCCTAATGTCTTTTTTGTCTACAATTTTGCTTTGGCTTATCGCACTTGTTATTTCTTCCCACATCTTAATGTCTTTGTGCCTTTCCACTCGGAATTTGGGAGACATTTCAGTGGCATCATCTCTGACATTATTGTCTTCAAAATTTACAATTAAGCTTTCATACAGCAGCTTAGCAATATCATCCCAATTCTTGGTGTTTTCGCACTTCCCCATTATGCTTTCGTGCAGTGTACTAGATATCTTTTTCCAGCTGTTATCATCTTCGCTCATTTTTATTAAACTTTCATACAACACTTCAGTCTTATCATCCCTAATCTTGTGGCCTTTACACTACCCCCGTAGGGCCATGCGTAGGGCTTCAGCAGTATCAACCCAGCTTTGCTCATCTTTGCACTTTTTCATTAAAATTTCAAGCACCACTTTATCTGTATCATCCTCACTCATACCGTCTGCAACTTGACTAAAAATTTCATGGAATACGTGGTTCTTGTCATATTCTAGAGAGACACAGCACCATGCCCGAAAATGAAACCAATCAATAACAGGTTTATGGCAAAACACCTTTCTGGCCAGAGTTGTCTTGCCGAGCCCAGCCATACCAGTAATCGATACAACATCTAGCTCTTTTGGTCCTCTAATCAGCTAGCCTGTTATTTTTTCGGTTTCATCCTCAAATCCCACCACAATTTCATCAAAACCGGGAGACGTTGGTATGTCAGGCATTGTCCCAGTGAGTTCAAAACCCTTTCTTTTAATGAGCTTAGTTTCTCCTATCACATCATGTATGATATCAGGTTATGATAAAAAGAATGAACATTTAACCTCAAAAAGTATATGGCATACCTAACTATTACTTCTTAAATCAAGAAAACCAATGAACAATACTGATTGTTGAAAGGAAAATGACTATTTATACAACTTCTGCACAACGTGACTTCACAACTTTTTAATTTTCACTGAGCACTTAATGTGTATCTTGTATCATCCAAAGTGGATTAAATAATGCCTCTTTTCTGCTATCTAATTGCATCTTGCAACTTTTTCTCAGATGCATCAATGCGGGTGAAGAGTAGTTATATAACAGGAAACAAACAGTACAGTACTGTGTTAACATCTAATGGAAAAATGAGTAATTTTATGTTCTAGTGGGGACAATAGTCGAAGGAAATCCAAACAGACAGCAGATAATAGTTGTTGAAAGCTTTCAATCACTCATGGGTTGCCAATTAATTTAAAGAATCATGAGACTTATCACAATCGATTCCAATAATGAGTATAAATTTTGATGGAAAGTTATGAGTCCAAGTAGCATTTTCTTAATTCACGAATTATCATGGGAGCAAATGATCTTTAAGGGTGGTATTTGAATATTATTGTATCATGATTTGTATGCACCTTAAATTTGGTTCAGATATATGCATAATTCTTTAAACCTAACAGACTTCGTATAAGCATTTTACTGTCAAAATCCTTGAGAAAAGAAAAAATTAAAGGAAATTCTAGAGCATGGCTTTGCCAGAATCTCTTCTGTATAAAAGTCAAGAAAGGTTCACTCACATTAAACAGCATTGTTGTCTGTTACTACAAGATCAACAATATTTCAACTAACAAATGTAGTTTCATTTCTAAAGTTGGAGGTGTTTTTGCTTACTACTTTCAAAGCTAAGAATAGAAATGAAAATTGATTAAGGATTTTTAACCTCTAAGGATAAGAGTGGAAAAAGGAAGGGAAAAGGTTTATCATTTCCATTATTCCAATCCTTTTCCTCGACTCTTCATTATTATTATGGGAGTTTCTTCAATGTTTACTCCTAAAAAAAGTTAAAATAAGGGCCTTTTTTTTTTTTTTTTTTATCACATTTCACTCTTTTCTTTCTTTTTCCAATCTAGTAGACATCACCACTGTATTTGACAATATGTAAATTATTCAACCTTGTAGAAGCAGATGGAAACACTAATAATTCATTGATTGGAGACTAACAGATTTGAAAGAAAAACTTTGTGCAGCAGTTTGGAGACTAAAGGGCTCACCTCAATCCCACAGCGGGCAGCCCCTCCTAGCTCCAAATTTGATAGCTAGCTTGCCTGTTGATGCTGGTTTATAACTGCAAATTAAGACAAGGTAAATACATCCATTGCGGTTGCTATATATATATATATATATATACACACACACACACACACACACACACACACACACACACATATATATATATATATATATATAGAGAGAGAGAGAGAGAGAGAGCTTACATTTTCTTGAGAGTTTAGACAGAGAGAGAGAGAGAGAGAGGGAAAGCATATGCAGAACAAAGGTGAGTGCTTGGCTCTTTCAAGTTTCAAATATATGGAAATATGTAACGGATCACATGACACATGTGCCACCCTTTGGGGAACTATTTATTTACATAGTTTATTTCATAACTAACAAGGTTTTGTCCGGATGTGGAGCTGCTTCAGGTGCCAGCTGGAAACTAAGAGTTGACTATGATGAACTGCATCTAAGTTAGATACTATATTATGAGTTTGAGTGATCTAATTAAAGATTTAAGTCTGTAGTGAGATATACTTTACAATATATATATAATCCAAACAGAAATCATAAACTCAAAGTCAACTGTTAGAATATAAATAATATGATAGTATGATATATTAAAATAGAACTATCTGTATTAAAGTTTTATTTCAAATTGAAATATCTTGCAATTAGAGTTTGTATGAGTTATTACATAATGTACACAGGACAATTAGAATAAAAATAGCATTTCATGTGAGCCTGATCACTGAATCCTTAATAAATACAAACACAAAAGTCTAAAATGACAAAAATACAACATTAAAAACCAGAAATGGAAGTTTCACTGTCCTTTGACGCAGAACATCATCAGTAGTAGAAAAACTGAGCTTATCAATTTGAACAGAAACCATTCAAGAAATCCACCTTTCACTGTCAATTACAAATGCACTGACAAAATAAAGAATGAGAGGTGTTGAGGTTTATTCACTCCACCCTAAAATATCCGGGTTTAATCTGCATTTTTGCTTAGCCAAATAAGTGAGTTTTGTGTTGATAATCAAAGTTTTGACTAAATAAACAAGAATTTTCATGAGTTCAATTCTTGTCATCAATCATCAAACTTATGAAATATTCCTAAGAAAAGCATTTTGTCTTCATAATTTTCGTTTTCCGATTAATATAAAGTAATACTACAAGGTTGGAACCACTTAATGTGACTGCCATATAAAGGAGAGGGTACATTTAATGTACCCCTCTAAAGGGAGAAGTCATGCTAGGCAGTTTTGCATCGTTAGACAGATCATTTAATATTTTATTTTAGATTTAGAAAGATGAATGAATGAAGAACAAGGTTACAAGGATTAGTATCAAATTATATATGAATGCATGCATAAATATGTAATTCAACTTAAATGAATAATTTTCATATTCATCTATGTTCCATCTTTAACAATGAATACACACTAAAACCCCAATAAACTAAAAGTTTGATAGTAATGAGCACTTAATTATGTGATGACATCCCTACTCAAATGTGGGAGTGCATGGGAGCAGTCTATTTACACGACTGAAAAATGCAATTTTAATGGTTTGGCTATGATACCATGTTGAATTTGGAAGATGGAATGACTTGGCAGATGGAGAATAACAACCACCCGCCAGTTAGGCAGAAGCAAGAATGAAGAATCAAGTAATGGAAAATGTATATAAGACTGAAAGATATAGAAAATATATGATTCTATATTATATCTGTTTGTTTCTAACAAAGAAACATAGTACATATATATATACAAACACATAACTGTAAGTACCTAGCCATGAACTGACACCTATTCATAAACAGACACAACCCTATATATAAACCTAACTCTTTATTTTTCAACAATAATGTTTTCTGGGGACTTGATCACTTATTCCATGGATCCTTAAAGACACAGAACATAAATGTCTCAAATGACACAAACACAAACATTATAATACTTGAAAGGTTGGTTCGAAGTCACTGAAGCACAAAGTACCAAACCAGAAGTGGAAGTTTCATGTCTTTCCTTAATGCAGAATATCATCTGTAACAGACTGACTGTGCTCATCAATTTGAAGAGAAACCATTCCAGAAATCCAGTTTTCAGAGCCTGATACAAGTACCCTGACAAAAATAAAGAAGAAAGGAATTACAGCAACCATCATTTGGGTGAAAGGGGATGTGATATGGAACAGAGAAGAGAAGAGATGAGCATAGATAATGGAGAAGTATCTATTTTACTTACACTTTCCTAGTCCTCCTAGTCCCAGAACAGGATTCAGTACGCAAACATTAGATTTGGCTTAATTTCTTCCTGATACTTCTTAACTGAGCAAGCGACAGAGCTGTTGCATTGATCAATTTCAATTACTTGTAGAGTAGTAATATCTTGGAAACCAGAAAATGGAGATGAGCATAGATAATGGAGAAGTATCTATTTTACTTACGCTTTCCTAGTCCCAGAACAGGATTTAGTATGCGAACATTTATCTTGTTTCCCAGTCCCTCCATGCCTTCCTGAATTTTCTTGACTGAGCGAGCAACAGAGCTGTTGCATTGATCAATTTCAATTACTTCTAGAGTAGTAATATCTTGGAAATCAGATGGCACCTCTTTAAGATGACTGCACTTTGCCACAACCAGTCGCTCAAGTCTGGGAAAACATTCAGCAGTGGCATTCCATCTCACAATCCAGGATTCGCATATTCTCAAGAACTTGAGTTTGCGGAAGTTCCCTTCCTCAACATCCCATTGATCACCATCAAATGATGAGAACAGTTCAAGAGACTCAAGACGGGGCAGCTTGGCAATTGCTGAAATGTAATGCCATGGCAGGCGAAACTTGTGGAGTGTCAATTCCTTGAGACTTGGTGGAAAGTCAAATGCGGAATGGATTGGTGCATTCAGATGGTCACTGGTGTGACATGCTTCCAGAGATTCAAGTTGATCAAGAAATCCCAACTTAGGGAATCTATAGCAATTGCCATACCATGATGTTGAAAATCTGCATCTAAGTTTTCGGAGATGAGGAAGCTTCCTCAACAGACGCTCATTCATGTGTGAGGTCAATAGGACCGGGAAGGAAAAGGTTTGGAGATTTAAAGGCTTTGGGGGTATACGGAAAGAATTTCTCATTTTGAGGCACCAATGACAATAGTGATCTATATGCAAATGTCTCAAACCCTTTAAATTCCAAATCATTAATGGTAAATGCAAATCTGCACTTGATTTCACCTTGAATGTTTCTAGATGGTGAAGACGCTCTAGAGATGGCTGTGGAACTGAACACCAACCTTTTAGACAAACAGCAAGGTACCTTAAAGAAAGGAGAAACTCCACCATGGGCAAAAATGATTTGCCCACAAATATGGACTCCAAGTCCAGTACTCTCACAAGTTTGAATGTGTTAGCTATCAAGAAATCAAGGGAAGGATCCATCGATGCAAAGAGGGAATGTGTGCCAAGGTTAGGATTATGTGATGAAAAGCACAAAAGCGTGACAAGACTAGGATTAAGTGACATAGCTGAATCAGGAGACAGATATTTATCAGTCCTTTTAAGCAAACAAAACCGATCATAAGTAGAAGTCAATTCCGACTGTGGACTGGTTTGTTCACTGTCTGTTTGCATCAAGAATTTATCTTTCTTGGCTTTTGTCAGACAAAAGCTACCTACCAGATCATGAATACGGCATGTTCTGACACTGCCATTGTATCCCCTGGTGGAAACCATTATTAGGTTACTACCAATTAGATGATTCAGGTATTCCTCTGCTTCATCCTCCGGTACCTTCTTTTCTATTTGTTTCACAAACCCTTCAGCCATCCACAACTGTATCAATTTGGACACAGGAATTTCATAGTCCTCTGGGAATGCCCCAAAGTAAAGAAGGCATGGCTTTAAATGCTCAGGTAAATGCTTGTAACTCAATGCTATTACATCCATGCTCCGAGATTCATCTCCCCTGATATGTGACCTTAAACTTTGAAGAAATTCATTCCACGAGAAGTATTTTTCTTCAATCTTCTTTTGAAGAATACCAGCTACCAAAACAACCACCAATGGTACTCCACCACATCTTTCTGCTATCTGTCTCCCAAATTCCTTTAACTCTGGAGGGCCAACATTCTCTTTAGATAGCTTTAACTGCAGTAAATCTTGGCTCTCTTCAGTAGTGAAAAAACGAAGAGGATGGTGATCAGCATCAGACCTGGCATATTTTCCAACTTCATAATCTCTACTTGTTAAGATGATTCTGCTTCCTTCTGCGCCCAAGGGAAAAGCTCTACTTAACTCATCCCATGCTTCTTTTCTCCAAACATCATCCAAGACAATGAGGTATCTTTGTCCTAGCAGTTTCTTGCGTAGCTTCTCAGCTATGTTGTCATCCCAGCTTTTACTGTCTTTGCATTTCTTATTTAGGCTTATGAGCAACGTTTCAACTATATCATTTAAGCTTTTGAATAATGTTTCCAGCATTTCTTTCCAACTGTCATTCTCATTTATGTTTTTGAACAACACCTCAGCTAGATCCTGTAGGCTTTTGAACAACTTCCGAACTTCATCATCTGTTCTCCTAATGTCTTTTTTGTCTACAATTTTGCTTTGGCTTATCGCACTTGTTATTTCTTCCCACATCTTAATGTCTTTGTGCCTTTCCACTCGGAATTTGGGAGACATTTCAGTGGCATCATCTCTGACATTATTGTCTTCAAAATTTACAATTAAGCTTTCATACAACGGCTTAGCAATATCATCCCAATTCTTGGTGTTTTCGCACTTCCCCATTATGCTTTCGTGCAGTGTACTAGATATCTTTTTCCAGCTGTTATCATCTTCGCTCATTTTTATTAAACTTTCATACAACACTTCAGTCGTATCATCCCTAATCTTGTGGCCTTTACACTTCCCCGTAGGGCCATGCGTAGGGCTTCAGCAGTATCAACCCAGCTTTGCTCATCTTTGCACTTTTTCATTAAAATTTCAAGCACCACTTTATCTGTATCATCCTCACTCATACCGTCTGCAACTTGACTAAAAACTTCATGGAATACGTGGTTCTTGTCATATTCTAGAGAGACACAGCACCATGCCCGAAAATGAAACCAATCAATAACAGGTTTATGGCAAAACACCTTTCTGGCCAGAGTTGTCTTGCCGAGCCCAGCCATACCAGTAATCGATACAACATCTAGCTCTTTTGGTCCTCTAATCAGCCGGCCTGTTATTTTTTCAGTTTCATCCTCAAATCCCACCACAATTTCATCAAAACCGGGAGACGTTGGGATGTCAGGCATTGTCCCAGTGAGTTCAAAACCCTCTCTTTAAATGAGCTTAGTTTCTCCTGTTACATCATGTATGATATTTGGCTATGATAAGAAGTATGAACCTTTAACCTCAAAAAGCATATGGCATACCTAACTATTACTCCTTGAAACCACGCCCCCCCTCCCCCCTCCCCCCCCCCCCCCCCCCCCCCCAAAAAAAAAAAAAAAAAAAAAAAAAAACAATGAACAATACTGATTGTTGAAAGGAAAATGACTATTTACACAACTTCTGAACAATGCGTATCTTGTACTATCCAGAGTAATATAAATTTAATCCAAAGTGGATAAAATAATGCCTCTTTTCTGCTATCTAATCACATCTTGCAACTTTTTGCTCTAATGCATAAATGTAGATGAAGAGTAGTTATATAACAGGAAACAAACAGTACAGTATTGTGTGGAACATCTAATGCAAAAATGAGTAATTTTATGTTCTATTGGGGACAATAGTTGAAGTAAATCCAAACAAACAACAGATAATAGTTGAAGAAATGGCAGGGAGGTTTAGACCTTGAGGTTGTTGAAAGCTTTCTGTCACTCATGGGTCGCCAATCAATATAAAGAATCATGACACTTATCACAATCGATTTCAACGAGCATAAATTTTGATGGCAAGTTATGTGTCCAAGTAGCATTTTCTTAATTCACCAATTATCATGGTAGCAAATGATCTTTAAGGGTGGGATTTGAGTATGCACCTTAAATTTGGTTCAGATATATAAATAATTATTTAAAGCTAACAGACTTCCTTTAAGCATTTTACTGTCAAAATCCTCAAGAAAAGAAGAGATTAAAGGAAATTCTAGAGCTTGCCAAAATCCCTTCTCTATAAAAGTCAAGAAAGAGTTGCTAACATTAAACACGCATTGTTTTCTGTTACTACAAGTTTAATTTCTATAGTTGGAGGCGTTTTGTTTACTATTTTCAAAGCTAAGAATAGAAATGAAAATTGATTTTGGATTTTTAACCTCTAAGGTTAAGAGTGGAAAAAGGAAGGGAAAAGGTTTATCATTTCCATAATTCCTTCCCTTTTCCTCAACTCTTCATTATTATTATGGGAGTTTCTTCAATGTTTTTTCCTAAAAAAAGTGAAAAATAAGGGCATTTTTATCACATTTCACTCTTTTCTTTCTTTTTCCAATCTAGTGGACATCACCATTGTATTTGACAATATTTAAATTATTCAACCTTGCAGAAGCAGATGAAAACACTAATTCATTGATTGGAACAACAAGCATAACAGATTTGAATCAAAAAACTTTGTGCAGAAGTTTGGAGACTAAAGGCTAGGGCTCACCTTAATCCCACAGCGGGCAGCCCCTCCTATATATACACGTTGATGCTGGTTTATTACTGCAAATTAAGACAAGGTAAATACATCCATTGGGCTTGATATATATACACCTAATACACGCACACACACACATATATATATAGAGAGAAAGAGAGCTTATATTTTCTTGAGAGTTGTGACAGACATACAGAGAGAGGGAGGGGGGAAGCATATGCAGAACAAAGGAGACTGCTTGGGTCTTTCAAATGGATGGGTTACTTGTTCAAAGAAAACAAACGAAAAGAAAGAGCCAATAAAACAAAGCTGGTGGCTATTAATATATGGAAATATGTAAAATATCACATATGCCACCCTTTGGGAAACTATTTATTTACATACTTTATTTCATAACTAACAAGGTTTTGTCTGGAGTGTGGACCTACTTCAGGTGCCAGCTGGAAACCAAGAGTTGACTATAATGAATTGGATCTGACCAATTCAGAAATACTATATTATGAGTTTGAGTGATTTTAATGACTGTAAGTCTGTAAATCTGTAATGGGATATATATATATATATATATATATATATATATATATATATATATATATATATATATATATATATATGTATGTATGTATGTATGTATGTATGTATGTATGTATGTATGTATGATCCAAACAGAAATCATAAACTCAAATTCCACTGTTAGAATATAAATAAAATTACATGATATATTAAAATAGAACTATCTGTATTAAAGTTTTAGTTAAAATTGAAATATCTTGCAATCAGAGTTTGTATGAGTTATTACATAATGTACACAGGAGAAATGGAATAAAAATAGCATTTCCAGTGAGCCTGATCACTGAATCCTTAATAAATACAAATACAAAAGTCTCAAATGACACAAACACAAGTACACAACATTAATATTATCACCTTGGAAAGGTCCAAAGTTAAGAACCACAAATGGAAGTTTCACTGTCTTTCCGTGATGCAGAACATCATCAGTAGTAGACAAACTGGGCATCTCAGCAAGCCAGGCCCATCCAGGTGAAAAAGAAGTGCAAAAAAATAAAAATAGAGAAGAGATGCAGATCAATGATGGTGAAGTGGCATTGATGTATATTATCACCTTGAATGCAGAATGGATTTGGTGAATTAAAGTCGCCACTTTTACATTTAGAAGTTGTACCCTATCAAAAATAACAAGTAAATAATCTCCATTAATCATGTGAATAGGTAAAAGAGAAGTAATGTTGAAGTGTTCAATTGACTTACATTTTTTTGGTTCAGAATCAGAATTCCAAACACGGACACTGGGCTGTTCATTTCCCATTTCCTTTTGCTCTTCCTGAATTTCCCTGACTGAACTGGCTAAAGGGCGGTTGCACCGGTTCACTTCTATTACATTTAGTGTATAAATTTCTCCGAAGCTCAAAGGTACCCCTTCAAGGTACCTGCAGTCCACCAAAACTAGTTGCTCAAGCCTAGGAAAGATCAGCAGTGGCCTTCCATCGTGCAAACCTGATGTTGCGTAATTTCAAGAATTTGAGTTCCAAGAATTTGTGATCTCCCACATTCCATTCTTCTCCCTCAAATGCTTGGTGTAGTTCAAGAGCCTCAAACGCATCAAGACAAAAAGGCAAGACCGAAAGGATCACACATATGTCATCAATCATTTCTAATATCACATTCATGTAATTCAAGTAAAAGAATTCAAATTCCCTTAAACAAAGTCTAAGTTCAAACCTTGTGAATATAATAACATCCTTTGAAAGAGATACTTAAATGGGACCAAACAATGCTCCACACCATATCAGTCTATCTAAATGGGACTGTAGGATACTAGAGGTCAAGGTAAAAACTGATTTCAAGCTCTTTCTATCGATACAACAATTATAACACTTAATCAACCAAAGTGACAAAACATCTATACACTCGAACTCAAAATTATTTTGGATGAAATTTAAAGTCGATCAGAAATGCCTCCATACATTAATCTAGACTAGAGTATATCTCATTGGCTCAAACTAATCTTACCTTATAATAAAACAAATGAATGGAGACTAATGAGTACAAAATAATTTAAAGAAAAAATAAGTTGGGAAGTAGTATAGAAAAGACTCACCTCAGTTCAACCTCTCGGAGATTTTGTAGCTTTCAATTGATGGTGATCTTAATTACCTGTTTGAAGAGAGAGTTTTATCATATCAATCATGGATTCATGGGGAAAAATGTGGTTAAAGCTAGCAACCAACGTGTTTGACACAAGTTTTATTAGAAGACAAGGATAGAAGAGCACCTGCAGATGAAGGAATGCTACTTCTCTCAACTCTAAATCACTTCAACAATGGAGAAACGCAGCCATTTCTCTCACTTCAGTAACAATCAGTTTATACTTTGGATTAAGACATACCGGAGTAAATATGCTCCGTTTATATAGGTATTGTCTCCCATGAGAAATTAAGAATTAGGGGAGTTTTTGATTGGAGGGAGAGAGTTAAGTGGGAAATGAATTACAAGTTCACGGAGGTGAATAATGTAAAACTAAAGTGGTAATTTAAATTTGGCTAAAGTGTCATCCTGCACAATGAACCATTCTTTATTATTCATGTGGCATCATGATCTTTAATAAGTGATAGTTAGAGCTATAAATCATAATTTTTTTTTTCATCTAAAGCTTTTTACAGGTTTCCTACAGGTTACAAGTAATAATATTCTTGAGATGAAATTTTTTATTAGTTTTTTTTGGTATTTTTCTTCTTTCGCCTTTGTAATATTTTTTTTTTCATATATTTTTCTTTTTTTCCTAAACGTATAGGTCTGCTTTGCGTTTTTTCGCTTCTCGTTTATCCGATCAAGCCTGCTCTGTATAGGTCTAATTGCGGAGTTTGGTATCGGAGAAACGAGAAGCGAAAAACGCAGAGCAGGCCTATACATTTAGGGAAAAAAAAATATGAAAAAAATTATAATACGAAGGCGAAAGAAGAAAAATACTAAAAAATACTAATAAAAAATTCAATGTCAGCAATATTATTACCTGTAACCTGTAAAAAGTTCTAGACGAAAAAAAAAATGATTTATGGCTCTAAATATCACTTATTAAAGATCATGGTGCGGCATAAATAATCAGGAATGGTTCATGGTGCAGGAGAAGAAGAAGGGCTCAAGGTAGATTTGTATATCCAACAAAAATATAGTGGATACAAAAAGGTTTGGTTCAAACATGAGCTATTTTTCACGTAGAAGAGAAGCCCAACGCAATAAATTATTTCTACATGTTAATTTACTATAAATTTAATGAATATAAGGAAGATTTAAAAAAACAAAAAAAAAACAAAAAAATTGATTATTAATAATTTAAATTAAAATTACAAAGCGTTATTTTATTATCTTCCTATATATTAAAGCCATAAGATTTCGGCCAATGAAATGGCTCCATTTTCCCGCTCAAACTATACTACGCCGTTTTGGTTTTCTCTCGGTATTAAACGCACAAAAAAAATGAATAGATAAAATCAATTGTGTTTGTCTTTTAATTGAAAGAATTGAAAGAATAAATCTATGATTAACAACCGTTTTTTAGAGTCCCAATTATCTGGGAAAGTGGTCAGACGCCATTCATATTAATGCGGCTGACAAATATTTAATTGGAACTCTAATAAACGAACAAATATTGAGAAATACAATACGATACAAATACAAATATCGTATTGAGAAATATAATACGATACAAATACAAATACATACAATTACGATCTATATATAATCTTTAAATTCATGTGTCGTTTGTTCTTCCAATGTGCAGTCTTAATTGGGAGGCATCCGAGAGATCATGGCTGATTTCAAACTTCTCACCAAGCCTGTATAAATACTTAGAGGTAACTTCATAATTGTCTACCATTTTTCTCTCCTTCAGTCTTACTGATTACTTCATCTTTCTTGGTTGCTTTCAAATTTTTGAATATCTGCAAATATCTGCAAATGGCTCCTGTTTATGTTCTAGGCAAAGACATCAAACTATCTACTTACAAAAAAGCTATCATGCTACGATTGATTCGTACCTATACGGTACCCGAAGGTCGCAACAGTTCGGCTAGCATCAAGAGTTAGGAATGTGTCTTTCTTGACACTGAGGTAAGTTCTCTTTCAATTTCAGCTGCAAAAAGAAATGTATAAGTTGTTAGTCAATATATATGTTCTTGGTTGATAGGGTACATACATTCATGGAAACATCCCTAAAGACTGCGTGGAAAAGTATTCTAAACTTTTAAAAGAAGGGAAGATGTATGTCATCAAAGATTTTGCAGTTATATCCCACTACTACCAATACAAAACTACTGATCACAACTACATGATCAGATTTAGTCATGAGACTATTGTTGAGAGACACAGGCGCAAGGGTTTTCCCTTACTAATGTTTCGGCTTAAGTCTTATACTGACTTAATGAGTGGCAATGTGTCTGAAAAGCATCTCATTGGTATGATATATTACTTCTTTTCTCTATATTATATATCCTATATCCTATATCCTATGTTTTCATTCTACTTTGTTCCATTTTAACTCTTCTATTCCCCTTTTAGATGTGATTGGTAGAGTGGTGGAGTACTATAGTCCAGAAGAGATTCTTATAGCTGGATTTCCTTCGAAATTGGTGGATTTTCTCATAGAAGATGGCCAGTAAGTATTCTTTCTCTTCTAAATTTATGTACATATATAAAACTGCAGTAATATTTTCATTTTTTTCCTAACTATAAACTGCTTATAGATAAAGGCAGATTTAACTAAATCTTAAAAAAGAAATTGAACATTTTAAGTACATACCAGGTCACTGTTTAATGCATTCAATTTTTCACTTTGATCAGTACTGTAGGTACTCCTGCAGTTAAAAGAAATATTCTATAAGAAAAATAGCATAAAGATTGTATGTATTCAAATCTGTGATTGTAGAAGAAAATCCTATAAGAAAATCTTACTAAAGTCAACTACTAGAAATCAAGTAATTCGACTCAAATATCTATTATACAAAAAATACTTATCTTTTTCAATTTCTTTCTATAATCCTTAATGTTGTTTTCAATCACATTGTAAGTCTTGTGCTATTTGAAAATCCAATCTGAAATCTAGTAGGACATATTCAAATTTATTAAAAGACTAGACTTTAACGTGTTAAATACATACCAGGCCACTGTTTAAAGCATCAATTATATCACCTTTAGGTGTAGGGTAGTTACACCTGCAGTAAATTAAATATTCTATAAGTAAAATAGCATTAAGCAATCAACTCAGTATAAATTTATTCAGTACAATATATTCTATCTACTTACAATCTGTTTATCTCACTTTTAGGGGCAATCGTCTTAAGTGTACTGTTTGGGATCAACATGTTGATACAGCCATGCATTATTTCAAGACCCACGTAGAAGGGCCTTTGATTGTTTTACTCCAATTCTGTCGAGCAAAGAAAGTCGATAGTAAGTGCATGATAACTTATTCATTAACATCTAATTCATTATTTTTTAACAAATTTCTGTTTCTAATGTGTAGATGAATTCAGAATTTCATCCTCCTACAATGCAACACAGTTATGGTTTAGTCACTCTTGCAGTGAATTTCAGGAATTTAAAGACAGGTAATTCCACATAATTTGTATTTTGAAGCAACTTTCCTAGATCAACATGTTCACTGTTTTTTTTTTTCTTTAATCTGCAGTTTGAAAGTTGATACCAGGCCACCTCTAAGTGTGCAAACTGTGTCTCACATTTCCTATGGAAATGCTGCAGAAAGTTCAAAATCTCCTATGATAGTAACTACTATCGAGGATCTGTATGAAAGAGCCGAGGTACAATGTAACTTAGTTTAATCTTAACATTCTATTTTGATCTTTTTAATCCTAATTTTTCAATTTTATTTAATTTGAACTAACAGGAAGGCTACTACTGGGTTCCTGGAAGGATTGTTGCTGTGGAGAGTACTACAAATTGGTATTACCATTCATGCAGGAGTGAGGGATGCTTTAGAAAATTGCACTTGAAGAGTGGGGCTCTACAATGCCTAACATGTGGCACAACATGGCAGGAGGGAAACCTAAGGTACAGGCTGATTGTGAGGGTAGGAGATATGACCACTGATGCTCCTTTTCTGTTGTGGGACAAGGAGTGCTGCGAAATTGTTGGAAAGACTGCATTTGATCTAAGGAGCAAATACTCTAAGGTATTTTTTAGACAACAAACAAAAAAAGATGACTATACAGTTTTGTTGAGTGTATTTTTTTTTTGATGAAAGTGTTTGTATTTAAACACTTTTATTTTTTTCCAGGATGGGTCTCCTCTCCCAACTGGTATGGAAGAGGTCCGTAATAAGGCTATGGTCTTCAAGATTTCTGCTAAGAATGATCACTTCAAGAATAAAGCAATAACTATACCTGTGGTTGCAATAGCACATGATTCAGACTTAGTGGATCATTACTGCCCTTGTTTAAGTGATTAT